AAAGAGACAAATGCAGTCATGATATTAGAATTGATCCTGGGGTCTGGCCACAACCGTAGGGACCTAGTTTCTGCGTCGCAGCTTGGAAACAGTTGAGATCCCCACCCCATAACCATACATAAAATTGCTGGGCATGAAAAATTGAATACAGATATATATGCTACAAGGATTGGCCTTGGGGTCTGGCATGCATATTCCCTTGGATCTCATTTGGAGAATATTCTGCCATGATTGCTTAGATATCAAGGTGAGCGATACAGGCCCTATGGGCCTCTTGTATCTGGTTGTAGGGGGAGGTTGTCATGTTAGATGCCATCGATGTGGAGGCAGAGTTAGGATTGTGGCTCTGTTAGGCTTATATCTGGTTGTAGGGGGAGGTTGTCATGTTAGATGCCATCGATGTGGAGGCAGAGGTAGGATTGTGGCTCTGTTTGGCTTATATCTGGTTGTAGGGGGAGGTTGTCATGTCCGAGTACTTAGTAGAGAAAGGGTTATGTTTCTAATGTTTGTCTGATGAAGAGATAGTGCTAGTTTTTCAAACGCCTGTCAAATTTTTAATAAGTTATGTTAATGTATGAGCATTGTGTGTCGTCACTTTTGATGAAACACAGTTAACATGTTCAATATGCAAAGACTAGGCTAAATTTGACCTTGAGCAAAATCTGTGTAATTAATTAGCATAGACCACTTTGATTGGGCTATGTTCACACTCCGAAAGACAGCTTGCTAAATATTATTCAATTTCATGGAAACGTAGTATGTACATTATATGAAGACTTTAAATAGTTCGGTGTTGGGCATAGTCTGTGTGAATGATTTAGCATATTAACCCTGCTTTGACTGGTTGGAAGTTTCTGCAAATTTACTTTCATTGAATATAACAATATTCTGATGAAACTTGTTTAATATTTTCGGGTTGAGGATAAGTCAATCACGATGCAGGAATTAAAGGGAAGGAGATGGTCCACAATATTGTTGGAAATAGGAGTTATAGTAGATAGACATGTTTCAATACTTATACATTATAGATTTATCATGAATATTTGAAGAAAATTGAAATATTGTATATATATTCAAATTTAATTGTTCTTTGACATGTATTTGAATACAACACTTAAGGATGTGCCAAGTGGTACTTTACAACGATGAATTAAAGAATGAAGTTGTGGAGTTTTAAGTGAGATATCATTCATGAATTTATAGGAAGAAGAAGAGGAAAGCTCACCAGAAGATGAAAATACAAAAAAATGGTTCTATTTAGATCCCCAGGGAGATGTCCAAGGTAAGTCTCTCACAAAACATATTGACTGCAAAATCTTTATCGAGGTCATCACACATAAAATTAGTTGGGACTTTTGCCTTTTCATGTCCTTTTTCAACACATTTTGAAAATGGCATATTGATGGATACATGCTAGTGATGGTTAGATGTTTTGGGGCAGATAAAAGGAAATATTAATAAAGGCTTTAAACCCAAATTATTGTACTGCAATCAGTATATAAGAGTGAAAAGGGTACTAATACATTGCGATTCTGTATTTGGTCTCTGATGATCAACATCCTAAACAGACATGTATCCTAATTAATGTGGTTTCTCTGTTTTTGAGATTGGTAGCAAAATATTGAACAGATTTTCACAATTCTTTCCCCCAGGTCCCTTTACATCCAGTGAGATGGCAGAATGGTTTAGTGCTGGTTATTTCACCATGAACTTAAAAGTGAAGAGGGGATGCGATGACCGGTATTCACCTCTAGGTAAGAATCTAGATGACACAAGTCTGACATTTCACAAATATTACAGCTTACACATTGATCAACAGCTTTTCAACTGCTAGATGGAAAAAGGTCTGAGAAATGGGAAAATTGTCTTAACTTGTTTTCAATTTTTGGGTTTATTTTTATATGTAGAAAATTGATGAAGATATCTACAGTACTCAAATTTTAAAATTATGTAAGTATTGAATTACTATTCCTAGAGTAAATGTGAGTCACAGAGCAAATTCAAGGTTTAATATTTTATTACCTGGGTACATAATATAAAGTGAACTGGCCTGAAATGAACTTCAGGTATCATCACAGAATCAGTGTATGAAATATTAAAATGCCAGCAATACCAGCATCAGTTCAATCAGGATGAAAAGTATGCATAATCTCTTGTGATTATTAGTCACTCACCAGTCTTTAGGTTTGCAGTTAGTGAATTTGTCTGAAGCATTTTGCATGTACTCTTTTACCTACAATTGCCAAATTTTGTAAATAAATACCTTTCGGGATGGCATAGGTTTATATACTGAAATCTTGTCACCATATACAGAGAAATGTCCCTTTGTTTACCGTGCCTGACGTTGTCCAGAGCATATCTTGTATACAGTGTCACCTGTTATTGCCAAATTTTGTATGTGCAGACCTCTTGTGATAGTGGAGTACATTGTATCACATATTGAAATTTGGTGGAGTTCAGTTCTATATACAGAGTTGTGGCTCTTCGATCATTTTTAAAAATTAGGTTTGACAAAGGTAGAAGATTGTTCAGAATTCTCTGCCTTGATTTTATTGTTTTATGAATTGATCCAAAATAATCCTACTTCAGGAGAGTTAATAAAGAGATGGGGAAGAGTTCCATTTTTGCCAGGGTCTGCACCTCCTCCACTACTGGTAAGTACTAAGTGGTTGTCAACTTAGTTTGAATCCATGGGTATCAATTACCTTGACTGTACTATCTAGCTCATTCGTTTGGTCAACTTTTATTATTCCCTTTCACTAATTGGTAGTGTTGCTCTTGTCCATTTGTATGTCTGTTAGGTAAAGTTTTTGCATTTAGGTCAGGTATGGACTAAGTACTGCAACTAGAGTCATGCAGCTTCATATAAGTATGTGCCTTTATGAGAAACACATGCTGCATAACATTCTTGTGACCTTGAACTTTGTCCTTTACTGCTGTGACCTTAGTTAAATATTTGTACTTCAAACTCATTATGTACTGCAGTCAGGAATTTGGGAGTGAGGCATACAAGTCTTACAGGCTAATGTTTGGCTAGAAGGAAATAGGGGGAAAAACTTGGAAAATGTTCTATCCTGCTAATCTTAAATACTTTCATTACCTGATCAGAATTCCCCTCAAAGGACTGCGAGCCCTGACCTGGCAGCGCAGCAACAACAGGACCAGTTAAAACTTCTACAGCAGCAGTATGTCATACAACAACACATGATGCACCAACAGATGGTGTTAAGGTCAGTGTCTACACGTGTTAAGGTCAGTGTCTACACCTAGTAACAAGGGCTCTCCACAACAACACTGATAACATTTCAGAATACTGAAGTATCAGGAACTATTATTTAAGGTTTAATTCCTATTTCAATGCAAATAAAAAAATTAAGATAATTTTTTTTTATGCTTAAATAATTTCAAACATATGAATTTTATAGTTTATATTCAAATGAAATAAGAGAAAAGAAAAAGATTTGTTAGAATCGTGCTTATATTTTAGCAGTTATAATTTTCAAGCTTTTTTCATGCTTATTCCAAAGTGGGAAATAACAATAGATATAAAATCACCATATGAACATGCAGAAATATGGAGAAGTGTTATATATGTATAAATATAGACTTTATTTATTTTACTAAAATTATGAAACAAGTTTTTACAACTTATACTAATCACTTGTGGTGGCCCTTATGTAAAAACGGGGGAGGGGAGCTTACTGTGGGAGGAAACGGTAGTACCTGGAGAAAACCCATGTGTTTGGGCAGGAAACCCCAACCTTTTCATGTCCGATTTGGGAATCAAACCCTGGCTACCTGGGTGAAAGTCAAGTGCGCTATCAACTGCACCACCCTACCACCTAATATATATAATATGGGTATATATATATAATGGGTATATCTTTATTGCTTTTGTGCCAGGTGTTTATCTGTTACGATATTGTAATATATAACAATATACCTACTTTGTGTATTACAGACACTTACAGATGCAACAGGTAATGACACAATTACAGGAAAACGATGATTTTAAACACCTCCCTCCTCTTCATCAACAACAGCTGGCTACACAGATCCTCCTCAAACAGTCTGCTATGTTACCTGTGCCTGGGGGTCAGTCAGACCCTAAACTGTCTCCTAGGTAGGTATACACATAATCCAAACTATCTCCTAGCTGAATTGTTACATACTTAGTCGAGGTGATACAGAAAATCTGTACTGCCTAGATTGTGAAATGCCATGCAAAAGCTTTCAAGAAACAACATTTGAACAATAAGTATGTGCTAACAATCAATGCGCTGATGATTAAAAAGTAGTACATACTGTATACGGGGGAAATTTTGGCCCAGTCAAATTTTCGTCTTTGGATGATAAAATCCTTTTTTGGCCAATATTCAATTTGCCCTTCACATTTAATTGCTAGGTTTATATTTATTGTTTACAAATGTTCAAAATGAAACTGCAGCAAACGTTTTCTAAAAAGTAGTAAAATATTAGTTTTCTGTTTACAGGTCTCCCCCTACAGAACGAGTGGGTGGCGAGTCCCCTCGACAAATGTCACACACATTTCAACGCTCAATGTCTCAGCCCGCCGACCTCACCAAGTCACCGCCACAGGCAGAAGATGGGTCAATATGGGGAAGTATTAATCCAGCTGTTCAAGGTAAGTCTTTAGTATGGCTAGGTTACACCTCCTTCGGAGCCGTCCCATATTCCTCCCTCACTGGTCCTGTTGTTAGCATTTTTCACCCTTCCGTCAGGTCGGGATGAATCTGAAATTTCAAAAGCAGAATTTGAAGTTCTGCTTAATTGTTCTCTATGCAAAACATACTTAAACTTGAATAGTGCTACCCTATGGAAGGAAAGAAAAACAATTGTATTCTGTATTTTAAAATGATATAGTACAGAATTTTTCGAAAAAAATAATGCAAGGTATGTTTTCATTTTTTCAACAATTGTCATAAATAATGTTTATAGATTATTAAAGAGATGTTTTCCTCTCATTCTACAGATCTGTTAGCCCAGGGGACAGGGAGTGTGTGGGACCTGGACCCAAAGTCGGTGATATCTGCAGTGGACCTAGAAGCACAACTTGAGAAGGCTAGAAAGGTAACACACAGCCTTCTCAGGTTAAAACTTAATAACTGGTTTTATAGAAATGTTACATCTTTAAATGATGCGAAAATCTGACACAAAAAATAACTGATATGCTTCTCAATTGAAATCGTAATAGTAGCTTTCAACATTTTTGCATCTTTTCTGCAGGAAACTGATGAACGTCAAAAAGAAGAAGTGGAAAAGCTACGATCAGAATTATTTCACAGAAAGCAAGAAGAACTTAGATTACGAAAGGAAGAAATACAAAGAGAGAAAGAGATGATGGAGATGGAACGACAGAAATACTTGGAGTTGAAAGTAAAAGAATCAGCATTTGATTTTCTCTCTCTATTGTCACAACTGCATGATTGACTAATATAGTATTAGATAAGATCAACATAATGGAGTTGAATAAAGACATGTCTTATGCAGATCTACTATGCTCCATACACATCAGACAATGTTTAAGAAATATACAGCCAAACAGCCAAACTGAACTCCATCAGGGCCATTCTTTCTTGTACTGCTGTAAAATCTGTCTGAACTCCATCAGGGACATTCTTTCTCGTACTGCTGTAAAATTTGTCTGAACTCCACCAGGGCCATTCTTTCTCGTACTGCTGTAAAACCTGTCTAAACCAGAGTTGTTTATTTATGAAATATGGTCGGACCTAGTAATCTGATGGTGCCTTCAGGCGAGCCTTAAAAAAGCCTTGCAAGGCCTGCATAAAAATTTGCAGGTCTGCCAGCATTTATACCCGAAAATATTGCATTTAAAAAAAGACAAACCGGTTGTTCCGCAGTTAAACAGTTTCATGTGTCTTCATATAGTTATTAAAACATATCTTGTCATATCTGCATGTTGACTCGGAGAAGATTGTTGATCTGCCCTTTTAAGTTTTATAATATAACACTGAAAGGACATTTTAGTGTTGAGTATACTTATTTATCACCAGTCCTCTGGAACCACAAATATTTATATTTTGTTTATATTGATAAACTCTTGCTTTATCCACTTGCTCTTATATTTAAAATATTGAATTAATGGTGTGATACTGAAAACTAAAACAAAATACATGTGAAGATTTCAGATTTTGCAGTATCATATTTATTTGTTCTCAGAAATTAGAAGAAATTAGACGGAAGGAGGAGGCAGAGAAACAAATGCGAGAAGAGGAAGAGATGCAGAGGAGAAAAACAGATGAGGAAAGACGACTAATGGAAGAAAAAATCAGACGACAAAAGGAAGAGGAACAGAGACGAAGAAGGGAGGAAGAGATCAGGTAGAAATATATATATATATTCTATCGTCCATGTAGGAGATTCAATAAACATTAAACTCAGTTTGATATTGTATTTTAGTATGTTGAATTAATTATTGGGTTGACTTATCTTCTTATCTTAAATCAAATTTCTTTAACGGGTAAATTTATCTTAAAACATATTTCATTAACAGGTAAACTTATAACAGTTTCATTAATGGATACACTTACTTACCTTAAAACTTTAATTAACTGACAAAATTACCTTCAAACAAAGTTCTATACCAGCTTTCTTGTATCTTCTCAATAGATTACAAGAACTACAAAGACAGCAGGCAGAGTTACGGCAGCAAGAATTACAGCGACAGGAATTGATCCGTCAACAGGAGATACAGCGACAACAAGAAATACAGCGCCAAGAGGAAGAGGAAATGAACAAACAAAAACATCTGGAAATACAGAAACAACAGGTATGGTACTAAATATTGTACAAAACAAACAGATAATAACAGTAAGCTACTTAGTATCACAACAGAAAGACAGAAAATCATCATAAAAATGGATTACTGAATAGCACAAGAGCAAAGATAATTATGTTATGTGACAATATTTCCTATTAGTTATGAGACTTTTTACCTCTCTATTGCAATTAACACTTGTTACTTTGTCAATGTTTTGTGGTGTATGTTGCAGGATGCACAAAGACAACAGGAATTACAGCACAAACAACAAGAGGCACTCCGCAAACTTCAACAGGAACAGATGGCAAAGATGCAGGATCAATTGGCAAAAATACAGGTACTCTACTTAATATTGACACATACAAGCCAGGAGTCAGAAAAACTGGTCATTTTAATGGTTTGGTTATAGACTTTTTAATTCATTGTAACAAAGTTACTCTTGAAAGATCATTTTTTTTGTAATTTAGCATTAAAATATTGTCTGCTTTGATCCTGAGGTCTGTCAACTGTTCTGATTGACAGCATTTCAGAATACACACATTTTGATACCTTATATTTTGAGTATTTGTGGTAGCATTCTTATCAGGGCTCACATTAAGGAAAAATTCTTGTGTCGCCAATTGGTTTTGCTAGGAACATTTTGTGTCGCTAAAGTGAGGTTTTATGTCGCCAATATTTGTCGCGCTCACAACTTTTAGTGTATTTTTAGCTCACTTGGCCCTTTAAGTGAGCTTATGCCGTGGTGCGGCTTACGGCGCCAATATGTTACTTTAAACAACTTTTTCTAAATAACCAAAAGGCCCAGGGTACTGATATTGGGCCTGTAGCATACTGGTATGGAGAGCTACGAAGTTTGTTCAAATGAATGACCTTGAGCCACTTTCAAGGTCACAGGGGTCAAATATGTTAAAATCTTCAAACAACTTCTTCTCAATAACCAAAAGGCCCAGGGTACTGATATTGGGCCTGTAGCATGCTGGGATAAAGGGCTACCAAGTTTGTTCAAATGAATTACCTTAACCCACTTTCAAGGTCAAAGGAGTCAAATGTCGTAAAATCTTCAAACCACTTCTCCTCTATAACAAAAAGGCCCAGGGTACTGAAATTGGGCCTGTAGCATGCTGGAATGAAGAACTACCAAGTTTGTTCAAATGAATGACCTTGATCCACTTTCAACCTAATGTCCTTGTTTGACATTCAAGGTCACAGGCATCATATGTTTAAATCTTTCAATAGGTTCTTATGAATCAAACACTGATATTCTGCCTGTAGCTGTATTTAAGTCGACTTTTAATATTACAAGTGTGAGATTAATTCCAGGTGAGCAATACAGGCCCATTGGGCCTTTTGTTTTTTTCAAATCGCTTAGCCTATCTAGTGTGCATGTTTTTTCCCCGACTCACTTTCATGTTGATCTCGCGTCTAACACTACGTAAACACGTGATCGATAGCCTCGTGAATTATTTCAATATTTATTAAATGAAGCATCATAAAAATAATGTATTCTGCTTAGATTTTGTTTCTTTCGAGCAGATTTCAAGAGGATGATGTATTGAATGTCCACACTTCTAGTATAAACATATTTTTTTTATAATCCTTTTCGGTCAAATCAGTCTGTAGTTCTAACCGTGCAGTAGGGCCTCACACCTCGTGTTGATAAGTGAAAACAACACTGTTCCTCTATCGCGACTGCAAATAATTTCATTTAATTTCAGTAGAGCTATCGTTATTCGGTAATCACAGATAGAGTGTTAGCTAATTACTGCATTGTAATTTGTATTAACAGTGTGGTTTTGAGAAGTGTCAATAATTTTCGCTGAAGCATGGCGATCCTACCTGGACTATTGTCCGGGACCAGATAGCGTCAATGGTTTTGCCCTCGGGTCAACTTACCTGTAGAAATGTTACCTGTACCCAGCTAGTTTGTGAAATGATGAAATGGTGATCAAAAATTTATATGAACAAATGTGCTCTTTGAGAATCAAAAATTAATACCTGTATTTATTAATAAGTAAGCATTAAAATTTGAGTTATATGTATGTTGTTTGTTGTGATGTAGTTACCGTCCCATGCCCAGTGGGCCAGCCAGCAGACAAGTGCCATGGGGGCCAGCGGAGTGTCTAATAAAACCCAGTCCCTTTTGGAGATTCAAGAACAGGAAGAGAGGGAGCACTATGAACAGGAAGAATCTGTACGTTTATATTCAGCCAGGAATCACAAATAATAAAATACAAAATCTGATTTATATTTATAAACTGCTCAGAAATGTTTGAACTGCTGAATATCCATTGTTCTGTAGTGTTTAATTTTTGAATAGCATTTTTGAAATGTAATCGTCACACACTTTGATATTAAGATTTGGAATATTAGTATGATTCGAGATAAATTGTATTGCTGGAATAAAAATATGAGAAATTTGCCACCAGAATAAAACTAATTCTAAAATGATATTGAAATCAGTTATTTAGATAGTGACTCAAGGAAAAAGTTCAACATTTTGTTTGGTCCTATTTTGAAAAGTATCAGCAGTCATGTATTAAACACTTAAGTGGTTCAAATAAATACCATTCACAGTATTCTAGAAAAGTGTTACTTTAATGAGGTGATAAAATAAATAGTTTAAACACAACCAATCTGTTATGCAGATTTTACATACGCTATATATGACAAAATGTGATCGTATAAAAAATGCTTTAGCAATGACAAGGACTGTATATTTTAAGGATACCCGTACCACTGTCTGTGTAACCTGGAATATTTTTGTTCAGATAATGGCTCAATACAAATACAAAGTCCTACAGATTTCTGAAGATTCTATTGTACACAGCCTATTATAATCATTAAATGCCTTGCAAGAAATTTAAGACTTCAGTGATGCAAACATTCTGTTGCATTTCTTGCAAAATTGAATCTAGGAAATATGTAGAGTAATATGTAGAGTAAAAGTGTTTAGACTTCAAACATATTTGTAAAAACTTGTATGTAACTTTTAAAGTAATCAAGATACTTGTAGAAATTTGTTACATGGACAATTTGATACTCTCTACAGATGCAAATGCAGCGCAAGGCGGATGCACAACGACAACAGATGATAGCTTTACAGCAGCAGCAACAACAGAAATCCTGGTCTAGTCAAGTGTATGTTTGTCTCTCCATAATTATACCATTTCTGTGGTGAGGGTGGGGTCAAAACTATAGATCCAGTCAAATTGTATTTTTGTCCTCTCCATAATTATACCATTTCTGTGGTGAGGGTGGGGTCGAAACTATAGATCCAGTCAAATTGTATGTTTGTTCTCTCCATAATTATACCATTTCTGTGGTGAGGGTGGGGTTAAAACTATAGATCCAGTCAAATTGTATGTTTGTTCTCTCCATAATTATACCATTTCTGTGGTGAGGGTGGGGGCAAAACTATAGATCCAGTCAAATTGTATGTTTGTCCTCTCCATAATTATACCATTTCTGTGGTGAGGGTGGGGTTAAAACTATAGATCCAGTCAAATTGTATGAAACCTAGTTAACATACAGCAGATTTCCAGGACTTAATTGAATCATTAAAGAATTATTGTTCATAGGTTCATGGAGCATACCCTGTGAAGTTTTTTGTGTGACATTTTAATGACTATTATGATATGTACACTGTCCCCTTAGTTAGACAATTTGATACATATCAAACATGTGGTTGAAACATTGCGCATCAGCACTGAACTTGTTCCGTTACGTGACCATGTATAAAATCTTTGCTTACATTTTGAAGAAACTGTTTAGCAAATGTTTTAAAATATAACTCTTCACTTCAATATTATCAATTCCTTAATTAGGGAAAAACTATGATATTGTACTTGTAGATATAGTCCTCAGTCACGATTATACAGAACCCCCAGTCACGATTACATTGTCTGATGTTGTACTTGTTTATACAGAACCCCCAGTCATGATTACATTGTCTGATGTTGTACTTGTTTATAAAGAAACCCAGTCATGATTACATTGTCTGATGTTGTACTTGTTTATACAGAACCCCCAGTCATGATTACATTGTCTGATGTTTTACTTGTTTATACAGAGCCCCCAGTCAGAGTAATGGAAAATCCCTGTTGGAGATCCAGGAGGAACAGTCCCAACAGGAGACGGAACGAAAGAATGAACAACAACAAGTACAACAAAGTCAAAATAAGGTATCTATCAATACATGTTTTGTGAGCAAAAACATATGTTTCAGTTGTCGATAAAGGAATAGTTTTTGCTAAAGTGTAGTGTTAAAACTTAAAAAACGGAATATTGCTAAGTTCTGAAAGACGCTTCATGTTAACTTGTCATTCACAGAACCTAACACTTGGTGCTGCAAGTGTATGGGGTGGAGTTACCTCCCCTTCACACTGGGCTAGTGAGGGGGCATGGGGAAATGCTGTAAGAGCACAGACAAATGCACAACAGAACAGTGGTACCAGTAATGGAGCAGGCTCTCTCGGTTTCTGGGATGATGCTATCATCTCGTCTAAGCGAGCACCTGCTGCTTCGTCAAAGAACAGGTAAATGTGTAATTTGTTCTCACGTAACCTTGTTTCAAGGATACTTGGTTCGATGAACCAGTTTTTATTATTAGTTGTTTTCTCAAAAATAAAAGTAAATTGGCATAAATGGCTCAAAAACAACCTTACGAGAGTGAGTCAGTTTTAAAACCACAAAAGTATGATTCTAACATTGGCAGAATTAAAAAGCGAAGCTATTGTGTTGTCATGTTCATGTAACTATCATTTGTTAATGTATAAACTAAAGAACATTTGTAATTACCTTATAACTGTAATTGATGGTAAACATATTAACTAACCTTCCATTGTTGGAAAACCTCTAAATAATGTATTCATTCTACAATGACAATTTGGAAAAGAAGTGAGATATATTAACCACACAAGTCATCAGTTTTCCTGAGGTACTGTAGTCACTGTTTGTTTTTCATATCCTACCAGTGGACAGACAAACAATGCAGAGTTCCCTGCCCTGAAGGGAGGCCAAATCATGGCACCGGCACCCATCGTCAATACCCCCAGCAAGCCAAAGCCTTCTAAGATGAAGAAAGAGGAGGTAAAATATACAATCCACTTGATTTGTGTAAAGGCTCCAGCCAAATTCTGGTTGAACAGTTTCTGAAAAATACTAAATCATAAAATTTAAATATTGCTAGGAGACTTGTACCGAAATTGTTTGTATGGTTTCCTGTGTCTGTATACCACCACTACATGTGTACACCTCGTAATATATTACATGTGTGAAATGTGATGTTTTGTAGGAGGCAGTCCAGAAGTTGTTTCAGGGGAACATTTCCAAGGGGGACGACTTTACTGAATGGTGTGAGAAAGAGCTGAGGATTATGGCCACTTCAGTAGATAGTAAGTGTTCTGTTAAACACCTTCCCAGTGGTTCAATGTACTAACGGAATAGAAGCCAGTGGATAGTAAGTGTTCTGATATACACCTTCCTAGTGGTTCAATGTACTAACGGAATAGAAGCCAGTAGATAGTAAGTGTTCTGATATACACCTTCCCAGTGGTTCAGTGTACTAACGGAATAGAAGCCAGTAGATAGTAAGTGTTCTGATATACACCTTCCCAGTGGTTCAGTGTACTAACGGAATAGAAGCCAGTAGATAGTAAGTGTTCTGATATACACCTTCCCAGTGGTTCAGTGTACTAACGGAATAGAAGCCAGTAGATAGTAAGTGTTCTGATATACACCTTCCCAGTGGTTCAGTGTACTAACGGAATAGAAGCCAGTGGATAGTAAGTGTTCTGATATACACCTTCCCAGTGGTTCAGTGTACTAACGGAATAGAAGCCAGTGGATAGTAAGTGTTCTGATATACACCTTCCCAGTGGTTCAGTGTACTAACGGAATAGAAGCCAGTGGATAGTAAGTGTTCTGATATACACCTTCCCAGTGGTTCAGTGTACTAACGGAATAGAAGCCAGTGGATAGTAAGTGTTCTGATATACACCTTCCCAGTGGTTCAGTGTACTAACGGAATAGAAGCCAGTGGATAGTAAGTGTTCTGATATACACCTTCCCAGTGGTTCAGTGTACTAACGGAATAGAAGCCAGTGGATAGTAAGTGTTCTGATATACACCTTCCCAGTGGTTCAGTGTACTAACGGAATAGAAGCCAGTGGATAGTAAGTGTTCTGATATACACCTTCCCAGTGGTTCAGTGTACTAACGGAATAGAAGCCAGTGGATAGTAAGTGTTCTGATATACACCTTCCCAGTGGTTCAGTGTACTAACGGAATAGAAGCCAGTGGATAGTAAGTGTTCTGATATACACCTTCCCAGTGGTTCAGTGTACTAACGGAATAGAAGCCAGTGGATAGTAAGTGTTCTGATATACACCTTCCCAGTGGTTCAGTGTACTAACGGAATAGAAGCCAGTGGATAGTAAGTGTTCTGATATACACCTTCCCAGTGGTTCAGTGTACTAACGGAATAGAAGCCAGTGGATAGTAAGTGTTCTGATATACACCTTCCCAGTGGTTCAGTGTACTAACGGAATAGAAGCCAGTGGATAGTAAGTGTTCTGATATACACCTTCCCAGTGGTTCAGTGTACTAACGGAATAGAAGCCAGTGGATAGTAAGTGTTCTGATATACACCTTCCCAGTGGTTCAGTGTACTAACGGAATAGAAGCCAGTGGATAGTAAGTGTTCTGATATACACCTTCCCAGTGGTTCAGTGTACTAACGGAATAGAAGCCAGTGGATAGTAAGTGTTCTGATATACACCTTCCCAGTGGTTCAGTGTACTAACGGAATAGAAGCCAGTGGATAGTAAGTGTTCTGATATACACCTTCCCAGTGGTTCAGTGTACTAACGGAATAGAAGCCAGTGGATAGTAAGTGTTCTGATATACACCTTCCCAGTGGTTCAGTGTACTAACGGAATAGAAGCCAGTGGATAGTAAGTGTTCTGATATACACCTTCCCAGTGGTTCAGTGTACTAACGGAATAGAAGCCAGTGGATAGTAAGTGTTCTGATATACACCTTCCCAGTGGTTCAGTGTACTAACGGAATAGAAGCCAGTGGATAGTAAGTGTTCTGATATACACCTTCCCAGTGGTTCAGTGTACTAACGGAATAGAAGCCAGTGGATAGTAAGTGTTCTGATATACACCTTCCCAGTGGTTCAGTGTACTAACGGAATAGAAGCCAGTGGATAGTAAGTGTTCTGATATACACCTTCCCAGTGGTTCAGTGTACTAACGGAATAGAAGCCAGTAGATAGTAAGTGTTCTAATATACACCTTCCCAGTGGTTCAATGTACTAACGGAATAGAAGCCAGTGGATAGTAAGTGTTCTGATATACACCTTCCCAGTGGTTCAGTGTACTAACGGAATATAAGCCAGTAGATAGTAAGTGTTCTAATATACACCTTCCCAGTGGTTCAATGTACTAACGGAATAGAAGCCAGTAGATAGCAATGTGATGTTTTATTTTTGTCTTCCTTGTAATGGATGTGATGAAGGCAGGACAAAGCCATCACTTTTCTGGCAGTGGCATCAATACTGTTTATGTTAAATGTTGGGACAGCCAAGACATATAATTCTGAGGAATTCTCATATGTAATGTACATTACAAAGCTGCTTAATACAATAGAGACTGTATTCAACACATCAGTTTAGTTATATCAGTACTTGGCCCATCAGTTAATTATATCGGTACATTGTTTCCTTTCTGTAATTAAATCTGTTACTTATTACAGTCCCTACATTCATCTCCTTCCTGAAAGAAGTGGATTCTCCATATGAGGTAATTCTAGTTTCTGTTTTAACACATTCATTTGGTTAAATATCTTATACACCAGGTATATACATTCACCTGATTCTTGATTGTTTTTTACAAGGTATATAGTTAAATACACACTTACATTAATTTGTGTTTATCATGTATCTTTTTCAGTACACAATTACCTCATACTTATTTATTTTTACAAGGTTTATTGTTAAACTTACCTGATGTTTATTTGTATTAACCAGGTTTATAGTTATACTTACCTGGTGTTTATTTGTATTAACTAGGTTTATGGTTATACTTACCTGATGTTTATTTGTATTAACTAGTTTTATTGTTAAACTTACCTGATGTTTATTTGTATTAACTAGGTTTATGGTTATACCTACCTGATGTTTATTTGTATTAACTAGGTTTATGGTTATACTTACCTGATGTTTATTTGTATTTATGTTTAATTTGTGTTTACCAGGTGCATGATTATGTGCGTTCTTACCTCGGAGATACCAAGGCAGCCATTGACTTCGCTAAACAGTTTCTGGAAAAGAGGAGCCAAAACAGAAATAAGAGCCGCCAACAGCAGCATCAACCAGAGGTATGTAGTTGTCTTTTTCTCATTAACCTGAGGTATGTAGTAGTCTTATATTCTCATAAACCTGAGGTATGCAGTAGTCTTATGTTCTCATAAACCTGAGATATGTAGTAGTCTTATGTTCTCATAAACCAGAGGTATGTAGTGGTCTTGTGTTCTCATCAACCAGAGGTATGTAGTGGTCTTGTGTTCTCATAAACCTGAGGTATGTAGTAGTCTTATGTTCTCATAAACCAGAGGTATGTAGTGGTCTTGTGTTCTCATTAACCGGAGGTATGTAGTAGTCATTTTCTCATTAACCTGAGGTATGTAGTAGTCTTATGTTCTCATCAACCTGAGGTATGTAGTGGTCTTGTGTTCTCATTAACCGGAGGTATGTAGTGGTCTTGTGTTCTCATTAACCGGAGGTATGTAGTGGTCTTGTGTTCTCATTAACCTGAGGTATGTAGTAGTCATTTTCTCATTAACCAGAGGTATGTAGTAGTCTTATGTTCTCATCAACCTGAGGTATGTAGTGGTCTTGTGTTCTAATTAACCTGAGGTATGTAGTGGTCTTGTGTTCTCATTAACCTGAGGTATGTAGTGGTCTTCTGTTCTCATCAACCTAAGGTATGTAGTGGTCTTCTGTTCTCATCAACCATGTTTTAGGCCATCGTCCTGAAGTTTACCTGTGTTTTATGTCAAGAGTCTGTAATGTTTCTCCTTTTTTATTATCTGTATTTAGGGGTCAGTTCCATTTCCCCTAGTAGTAATATTTTTCTATATGATTGAGTCCACCTCTTTTTATTACTTGGATTTACAAGACATGACAGGGTATTGATGCATGTGAGTTTTGATTTAATATTAACATATTTATTTTCTTCTGTGAATTCCAGGACAGTATTTGGGGGCCTGCCCCTGCCCGTGACTTTCGCCAGTCACAGCCTTCAAGCCAAGTCAACGAGTTTGAGACACAGAAAGCCAAGGGCAAAAAGAAGAAGAGGATGACAAAGATTGACAGCAGCATTCTCGGTTTCACCGTTCACGCTGACCCGGGACGCAAGAACATCGGTGAAATTGATAACATCAACAAGTGATAGAATAAACAATATTGCTGAGGTGATTTTTATTTACTGTTTTACATGTGGGGTATGGTTGTCTGTTATACAATCACAAATGTCTGGATTGAAGAGTTATAGGACTAAGAAGGTGAAGGGCAAGTTGAAGGACAGACAGTACAGTTTGAAAAAAGCTTCTGTGCAAGTCTGCTGTCGAATGCCTCCTGTGTGATACCCCACTAGCTCATCATTGAGATGGAGCAGTGCCCCATTGACCATAGTGTACAACTGTCCCATAAAGTGTACACCTATATACATGGCTGAATACGGCACTCCAGAAGGTTTGTCAGGCCGGGAGTTACTTCCCTTCCCCAAATATAACGAGAGAATTATAAGGCTTCTGCTTGTTACAAAGATGAATGATTCAGAATCTGCATGTTGTTCTAAGGTTATATGAATTTAATGTGCAAAAAAAGTTATCAATTTTACTAAAAAAAATACCATCCAATTTTAAATATCAAGAAAGTTCAGGAAAAAGAATTACTAACTGCCTGGATGAGTGATGGAGAAAACAAAATTCTGGTTCTGATTTTTGGCATCCGATTTCAGTTCATAATTTTTGAACTTTTGGATTTTAAAGAAAATTTTATAGAAAAAAATTAAAATTTTACTGTCATCAAAATGTTTAATAAATAAAGACATTTATAAAATCAATACTCAAAACTTGATATAAACCAGATGCGTAATTGTATTGATGCCAATCAAGTTTTAAATTTATTTTTTACACTCTGTCATGTGAAAGTGATGGAGCATTCTGTGATATGGGTTTGGCTATAATTGACTCAAAGGTCAAAAGTCAAGGTCACATTGTTTAAGGTTGGGACTGGGGGAGATATTCTGGTTTGTTACATAGTAACTGACCCTTGTTTGTAGTCTACTGATCCTATGCAGGTGCTATCATTGTTGAATTCCTTTAGTTAGTGTTTCAGAGATACAGTGAAATATTAATACAATTGACATTAAGAGTTGATTTGTAGCTGGGGTTTATAAACTCCAGATATCTGAAGTCAGTCTTTATATAATGCATGGCCTTTTTTCTTCTTCTTTTTTTGGAAAAATAGATTGCTTTCAACAAAATATGTGGCCATAATAACATAAGGATACCTGGAACTAGGTTTTACATGTTAATTCTGTGATAAATCTCCAGAAAGGTTTTGAGTCATGATTTTTATTAGATCAGTAAGCTAGCTTTATTTTCCTGAATTTGGTATTGCTGAAATTTTACTTGAGTTGTTATTGATTGCAATACAAAGAACTCTGTTTTTTAATAATATATTAACTTTAAATGGACTTTTCATTGTGGTTAATCATGAATATACCAAATATGGATGAACTAAATCTAGAACTACTTTTACAGCCAATATGTTACATTTCTAGAAATTAAGATTTTAACTTCGAAGTGATTTTTTATGAGTCTTGCAATGTTGTTCCTGACTTTTTTTTTATCACAACTGAAATTTCCATTTATCATTTCTATAATAGAAAAACAATATCTCAATGAAGGTTAGACCAGGAACTATTTTTATAAATTTCACAAATATTTTCATTTTTGCACAAGTAGCTTTTATCATGTACTAATTTTCAGATTTAATAAAAAGTCTAGTGGTGACAATTTGATCAAATTTAAAAATAAATTGTTCGACTTTATAGCACATCTACTTTTGTAAGAACATTTATATACCGGTGTGTCGTTTTAAAACTTTCTAATTCCTTCTGAATGTATACTTGATTTGTTCAATGGGCTGCAGTACATGTGTAAGCTGGTTTGGAGGGAAAACATAACAAAATCCAATTTTGCTGGCAGTTAAAGCCTCAAAAATGTGCCATGTTAAAATCCATTTCATCAGTATTATTTATATAATAGCACTGTTGAAAACTGATATGTGATTTTATTAGATTGATTTTGTGTTGATGCAGCAGCAGGGATTTCCTTGTACATGTTCAAGTGAGAAATCACATGTACAGCTGGTGTTACAGTGGTCATGGCACTGATGGTAATGTCACAGTTATAATGTTGTTTTTTACAATCATCTAATATGTTATGGTAAAGTTAAAATAAAATTGATCATCATCTGGTTTTGTTTTAAAACTGTATACAAAAGAGGCAGTTATTGTTTGCAACTGGAGTAAAAAAAAAAGGTAAATTGACAATATTCCTTTGTCAGGTAATATTGTCAGGTACTTGAAGGTCGGCTGTAGAACACAAGTTCACTGATCTTATCTTCTGGCCTAAATGTGTCGCCAATACTGTAAAACCCTGACGACAAACATGATAAGCTTCTTGTAAAGATTTTATTTTGATATGTCCTGTTTTTATTTTAAGATAAATATTTTAAAGTTATGACAATACCACTGAAGACCAAAATTACCAAATAAATCGTTAGGTATGGTTATAGCCATGATGGGTGTTTAGCATAACATCAAGAAAGTTAAATGGGTGGATGAAAGGGGGGGAAAAGAAAGCTTGTTTGTCTAAAGCAAACATATATCTTGTTTTTTCTGTGAAAGATGAAAAAAATATGAGAAAACAAATAAAAAATCCATAAAATATTGTTTTTGTCTTGTTGTTTATTTTTCCAAAGGTTAGTTTAATTTTGACATTTTATTACCTACCATATTTTACTATCTATATAAATTAAACTGCTCACCAGTCCGAAAGTACCAGATGCATCAAAATTTCACATTTGAAATTTATTCTAAAACTTTACTGACCATTTTCACCCAAACTCCACAGGGATGTTCCTTAGATTGTGCTAAGCAAGTATTATTATTTGTTTGGCAAGTACAAAAGTCAAGATGGTGACAAAGGCATCTGGTCTCGAGGGCAAGGCCTGATCCCGAATCTCATCCTGGTAGATGTCGCTGTTAAAAGGATTCTAGAGCACTTTTTAGCCAGATATTGTGACGCTAAGCATTATGGAACTAAAGAAAAAGATTCTCCATAATAGTCCGTGTTGGCATTCAACTCCAGGCAGTAGTCAAAAGTTTACCTTTGACCTCTTCATAATATTGAAGGAAATTACTCCCACTACTGGACAATATATCCAAGTATCGTGACTCCAGACCTTACTAGCTCACCTGGCCTGAAGGGCCAAGTGAGCTTATGCCATGGCGCAGCTTCCAGCATCTGTCAACTTTTTTCTTTAAAACGCTACTTGTCCTTAATGGCTCGGAGGGTTTTGACCAAATTTGGTCTGGAGCATTATTGGCCAAAGGGTTCTCAGTTTTGTATAAACAGGGTATGGCCCCCCCCCGGGGGCAGAGGGGCGGGGCCCAATAGGAGGGAATTGGTAAATCTTTAAAAATCTTCTTCTCAACCAATTGAAGGATTTTGACCAAATTTGTTCTAGAGCATCCTTGGACAAAGGAGCCTCAAGTTTGTATAAATGGAGGGTGGGGGCAGAGGGGTGGGGTCCAATAGGGGAAATCGAGGATTTTTTTCTACCACTATACAAGTGAAGGGATATAATCCAAATGTAGTCTGAAGCATGCTTAGGGACAAAAGAATCAATTTTGTATAAACTGAGATGTGTGGACCCCCTTTTTTGGGCAGATGGGTGGGGTCCATTAGGGGAAGTAGAGGAAAACATTAAAGATCCTTCTCCTTTTGTACCGATGAAGGGATTTTGACCAAATTTGGTCTGGAGCATCATTGGCCAAAGGGTTCTCAGGGGGTAGAGAGGCAGGGCCAAAAAGGGGAAAGTAGGTAAATCCTCAAAATTCTTCTCAACCAATAGAAGGATTTTGACTCGATTTGTTCTAGAGCATCTTTGGACAAAGGAGTCTTAAGTTTGTATAAACAGGGGATGTGGCCCTTTAAGTTTAAACAACTTCTTGATAACCAAAAGTCCTAGGGTGATGATATTTGGTCAGAAGCAAAAGGGGATGAAGGGCTATCAAGTTTGTTCAAATAAAAGAGCTTCACCAATTTTCAAGGTCACAGGGGTCAAATATGTAAAATCTACTTTTAACAACTTCTGAACAACCAAAATACCCAGGGTGATGAAATTTGACCAGTTGCATGCTGGGATGAAGGGCTACCAAGTTTATTTAAATGAATAACCTTCACTTATATTCAAGGTCACAGTGGTCAATTGTCTTAAAACAGGTTCTTCTGAATAACCAAAATGCCCAGGATGTTGATATTTAGTCAGTAGCAGACTAGGATGAAGGGCTACCAAGTTTGTTTAAATTAATGACATTGACTTTTATTTAAGGTCACAGGGGTCAAATATGTTTGAAACTTTAAAATGACTCCTGAATAACAAAAAGTTGAAGGATGATATTTGGCCCATAACAAGATTGGATGAAGGGCTACAAAGTTTGTTCAAATGAATGACTTTCACTTAAATTCAAGGTCACAGGGGTCAAATTTGTTTAAAATCTTTAAACAACTTCTTCTGAATAACCATGAGTCCAAGAATGTTAATATTTAGCCAGTAGCATGCTTGGATGAAGGGCTATCAAGCTTTTTCATGTGAATGACCTTGATCCACTTTCAAGGTCACATTTTGTCAAATATGTATAAACATTTAAATGACCTAATTTTAATAAACAAAAGGATAGGGTGGTGATATTTTCAAAGTTGCATCCTGAGATGAATGGCTATAAAATCTGTTCAACATAATGACCTTGTTCGACTTTCAATGTCAAAGGGGTGAAATGTTTTTAAATCTTTTAACAGGTTCTTTTGATTGACTTGATTATAATTACTGATATTTTGCCTGTAGCTTTGTTTTAGATCACTTTTAAGGTTTCAAGTGTGAGATTTATACCAGGTGAGTGATGCAGGCCCATTTGGCCTCTTGTTTTGTAGAGAAATCATTACCAAGGTGCCCAAACTTCACTTCATAGGTGTTTAACTGTAGAAAACTCTCTCCTGTCATTAAGATCCTGAAAAGTCAAATTTCGTTTGCCTGCTGTTCGCTCGCTGTTGGTGCTGTTTTTAAGTCAAAAATATGTCGGACAGATTGATGTTTTCTTGCGTACGATAGCGTGTTCCACTAGTCCAGCTGATAGGAAAAAGAAAGCTTTCTTGTAGGGTTATATTACAAATGATAAGAAAAAATCAGGTTTTTTTTTCCATTTCTTTATTTTTTTCAATGTGATGCTAAAAAATTGACACACAGCTGAAAATATAAATTATCTAGGCTTAAATTTCTGCTAAACTTTGTCATTATTTTAAGCAACAGTTCATAGATAGATGTTAATTTATACAAACAATGTTGAACACTGATAATGGTCTTCTACATTAATTAACATCTAATCAAGTAAGAAAATATATGTACAAGGGAACTTTGTGTACAAATTACGATTCATAATCAACAGTTAAAAAAACTGACAGCGAGTCAATATGGTTGTAAACAGTAAATGAAGCATGCAAAGGACGGATTTTGACATGAATACTGATTACAATATAACAAAAAAATTATGGGGACAGAAGGGCAAGCAAGGTATGCCACACTGAACAAGTGTTGATGCTGAAGCTAGCAATGGAGGTAAAAAACAAGTTACCTTCAGTGCTTCTCAAAACAACATAATTTTTCGGTACCTTGATGGTTTTACGAAAAAATCCTGACCTGAAGAATAGACCAATCTAGAGAATGGCTGATAATTTAACAGAAGATCATCGCTAGACGATCCCATTAAAATGCCATTTCATGACATATTGCCTGCATGGAAGGCAACTTTTGATAAAAGAAATTAAGACAACTTTCAAGTTCAAAACAAGGGAAGACAACTGGCTTTGTTCTCGAAAACGAAAGTGAACAAAATCATACATGTCCCACCATTTAATAAGTCTGATGAATTGATGGTGTGCTTTCTCTAATAAAATATTGTCATCTAAATTAGATAAGCTTCGGCTGCCTTCCATGCATTCTTCGCATCTCTTGTATAAATTTTCAGCAAAAGCTTGTAAATTTTCAAGAGATACACTTAGGGTATACTGTATGTTATTGACGCCCCGAGCAAAATATACAGAAGGATCAAATCTAGATTGCATTCAAGTAAGATAACTAGTCCAACATGAATTCATAATGTTTCATGATTTAGGGGCGAGGAAATGCTGATAATTTTTTAATCAACTAATTGAAATTTATGTCAAGGTTACATTTTAACAATGAATTTTACAGCAAACACATAGACATAGCAGAATCTTGTTACTCCAATCTTTGTTATCAAAGGAAGTTTGTATGCCTATATGTTCATTACCGAACTAGATTTCGGTAAGATCTTTTATTTCATTACTTCTCTGAAGTATTTTCAGAAACCAGTGTCCATTGAATATATACATCGTTTAACATCACGTCTGTATACCAAAGTTCAGCATTACAATTAAACTTGAAAACATTGGTCAACAGAGAATGTATGGTCATTGGATGCCTCTTGGAGACACTATTGGGTATTAAATATGAAATACAAGGCCAGCTTGTAATTGAATGGAATGTGGATATATTTGTACCTGATGAATCTATTTTCGAATTAAGAACTCAAATAAATAATGAATAAAAGATTAATATGTGGGCTACCAAACTTTCTCAAATGTTAATTTAGATACTATTGCTTAAAAACAATTAATATGATATTTTGAATCATAGTGTGTTCTTGATACCATTTTCATTCACGATGAGCCAAAAACACCTTGCATTTTTTGTTTTGTTACTGGTTTTTCATCCTTACGACAGGACAGGTAAGGTTATGTATAGAGGTTAAAATCTACCTTAAGGAGTGGGTGTAGACCAGTGGCTCACTTATCTGATTTGTTCTATATTTCTTATTACAGTATAATATTTATGGAACTTGACAACCATTTTCTGTGCAAAATTTAAAATGAAGAAAAAGAACGACGGCTATAAAGTTAAAATAATATAATTTTAAATTTCATCCATTACATCAAGGTAATGAACAAAATTCTAATTTAATACATGATATATATATACACACAAACCTCTTAAACAATACAATTATAGAAATGATTAATTACGGTACACATAAAATGTGTTCAACATGAACTTTTAATGAATGAACTTAAATTATGCCTGAATGGTTACATCATAATCTTGTTATCTCTGACCCCAATGGAAATCAAAAAAGAAATAATACAGTTTCATGATACACTCGAAATGTATCACATACAACGTCTTCTTGAAGGAATGATTAACTTTGTAATACACATTTATCAATGTTACCTTAATATTGAGTGGGTGATTAATGTCAATGAAGACATTGTGATGCAGCAGAATAATTCAACATGAATTAACAGTTTACTTTGAAATTAGAATTCAATTGATTCCTCGATTGGCTACCTAAACTTAAATCCCCGGTTCCTACTGAAGTTTCTGAGAGAGTGAGGAAGGAGGACATCCTTATCAGGCCATCCTCAATACTCCATGGGCTACCCTCACTTTCTCTCTAGGTAGACCAGATTGTACTGGATCGTAACCCTTGTCTAGCCAAGATGTATCAGGGCATGCACTCTTTAACTCCTTCACCCCTGAAATTTCATATTGAACCATTCCACCCTTTGAATTGGATGGATTCAAATGTGTCTTTAGGGGTGAATGAGTCAACATAGAGTTGGTTCGTTTGAATGGAAGATAACCAATTCAGTAGAGGCATTAAAATGAAAAAAATAGTTGTCCAATATAAATTAAATTATTAAATTATAAATTAACAAGGAAAATAATTCACAACCTAATTCACTATGATTGACATGTATGTACATAAATTACGCAATTAAAAGTAGCACACACAAAAGTTAAACACAGTCAAGTTATGTACATAAAGAACTAAAACTGTATTTACACTAAACTATAAAAAACTAAATTACAATCACAAAACTAAATATCACAGACTTAAATCAGGAATTTGTTATCACAGACATACACAAAGGTAATCATGGTACGTAAAGCTGATGATTCATAACAGCACTGATAGCTGACCAGACGTTCATGGGACGGAATGACTACAACTGGTCAATATACGATTCTTAATTGTTATTTAAGGTCAAGGAAGCAATACTTTCAAATGGGAAAATGTTCATGAAACTGAGGCCTGGTCTTAGGATAATGAAACTCAGGACTGGTCCCAAAATCATGAAACAGAGACCTGGTCCCAGGATCATGAAACTGATGCCTTGTCCCAAGGTCATGAAACAGAGGCCTGTTCCTAAGATCATGAAACTGAGGCCTGGTCCCAAGGTCATGAAACTGAGGGCTGGTCCCAAAATCATGAAACTGAGGCCTGGTCCCGAGGTCATGAAACTGAGGCCTGGTCCCAAGCTCATGAAACTGAGGCCTGGTCTTAGGATAATGAAACTCAGGACTGGTCCCAAAATCATGAAACAGAGTCCTGGTCCCAGGATCATGAAACTGATGTCTTGGCCCAAGGTCATGAAACTGAGGCCTGGTCCTACGATCATGAAACAGAGGCCTGGTCCTAAGATCATGAAACTGAGGACTGGTCCCAAGATCACTTTGGTTTTCAAGATACATGTATCCAAGGTCATGAAACAGAGGCCTGTTCCTAAGATAATGAAACTGAGGCCTGGTCCCAAAATCATGAAACTGAGGCCTGGTCCCGAGGTCATGAAACTGAGGCCTGGTCCTAAGATCATGAAACTGAGGACTGGTCCCAAGATCATGAAACTGAGGCCTGGGCCTAAGATCATGAAACTGAGGCCTGGTCCCAAGCTCATGAAACTGAGGCCTGGTCTTAAGATCATGAACCTGAGGGCTGGACACAAAATCATGAAAATGATGCCTGGTCCCAAGGTCATGAAACTGAGGGCTGGTCCAAAAATCTTGAAACTGAGGCCTGGTCCCAAGGTCATGTCTTAGGATAATGAAACTCAGGACTGGTCCCAAAATCATGAAACTGAGGCCTGGTCCCGAGGTCATGAAACTGAGGCCTGGTCCCTAGGTCATGAAACTGAGGACTGGTCCCAAGACCATGAAACTGAGGCCTGGTCCTAAGATCATGAACCTGAGGGCTGGCCACAAAATCATGAAACTGAGGCCTGGTCCCAAGCTCATGAAACTGAGGCCTGGTCTTAGGATAATGAAACTCAGGACTGGTCTCAAAATCATGAAACAGAGACCTGGTACCAGGATCATGAAACTGATGTCTTGTCCCAAGGTCATGAAACTGAGGCATGTTCCTAAGATCATGAAACTGAGGCCGGGTCCCAAGGTCATGAAACTGAGGCCTGTTCCTAAGATGATGAAACTGAGGCCTGGTCCCAAGGTCATGTCTTAGGATAATGAAACTCAGGACTGGTCTCAAAATCATGAAACAGAGACCTGGTCCCAGGATCATGAAACTAATGTCTTGTCCCAAGGTCATGAAACTGAGACCTGTTCCTAAGATCATGAAACTGAGACCTGGTCCCAAAATCATGAAACAGAGGCCTGGTCCCAGGATCATGAAACTGATGCCTTGTCCCAAGGCCATGAAACAGAGGCCTGTTCCTAAGATCATGAAACTGAGGCCTGGTCTTAAGATCATGAACCTGAGGGCTGGACACAAAATCATGAAACTGATGCCTGGTCCCCAGGTCATGAAACTGAGGCCTGTTCCTAAGATGATGAAACTGAGGCCTGGTCCCAAGGACATAAAACTGAGGGCTGGTCACAAAATCATGAAACTGAGGCCTGGTCCCGAGGTCATGAAACTGAGGCCTGGTCCTACGATCATGAAACAGAGGCCTGGTCCTAAGATCATGAAACTGAGGACTGGTCCCAAGATCACTTTGGTTTTCAAGTGAGGCCTGGTCCCAAGGTCATGAAACTGAGGCCTGGTCCTACGATCATGAAACAGAGGCCTGGTCCTAAGATCATGAAACTGAGGGCTGGTCACAAAACCATGAACCTGAGGCCTGGTCCCAAGGTCATGAAACTGAGGGCTGGACACAAAATCATGAAACTGAGGCCTGGTCCCGAGGTCATGAAACTGAGGCCTGGTCCCTAGGTCATGAAACTGAGGACTGGTCCCAAGACCATGAAACTGAGGCCTGGTCCTAAGATCATGAAACTGAGGACTGGTCCCAAAATCATGAAACAGAGACCTGGTACCAGGATCATGAAACTGATGTCTTGTCCCAAGGTCATGAAACTGAGGCCTGGTCCCAAGGTCATAAAACTGAGGACTGGTCCCAAGATCACTTTGGTTTTCAAGATACATGTATCACTATAAAAATAGGAAAAATTTACAGGACAAAGATGAGAGAGGTTCTCTTCTTCTGCAATCTAGTTAAAATTGGATATTCACATCGCTCCCGTTTACTGATCAAATATGTCGTGTGGAAGTAACATATCAGGGAACAGAGGTGATGTGAAGATCTAGTTTTAATTAGATTGATACTGTTGGTGCTTTTAGTGAACAGCACCATTAGCAATGCTACTGAATATATGTGAAGGTATGTATCATAAATAATCTACAATAAAATTATCAACAATTAATAAATTAATGAAAATATTTTCTATCACACATACAGCACTGGCAGGAATGTAAATAGTTTCTACATTAAAATTTATACTTTAGATTCATAAAAACGATTTTAAATCTTTAATTTAGTAACAACCCATGAAAACTATGCAGTTGTAGAATTTAATTCCGGAAATATACTTCTTAAAGAAATTGGGATTCAAATACCAGGTAACTGTAAACAATAAATCTGGGAGACTGATTTAGGAGACTGGGAGTTCGAGACCGATTTCAGAGACTGGGAGCTTGAGACCGATTTCAGAGACTGGGAGCTCGAGACCGATTTCAGAGACTGGGAGCTCGAGACCGATTTCAGAGACTGGGAGCTCGAGACCGATTTCAGAGACTGGGAGCTCGAGACCGATTTCAGAGACTGGGAGCTCGAGACCGATTTCAGAGACTGGGAGCTCGAGACCAATTTCAGAGACTGGGAGCTCGAGACTGATTTTAAAGACGTGTTTTGGAAAATGAAATTTTGGTACCAGGGTAATTTGTTTTTTACTTTTTACTGAAATATGTAGAATGCACAATTAAGCTTAGTGTCTCTGTAATTCATCTAAATCATGGTTTTATTTTCAGGAAGCTTTAAGAATATATTAAGTACATGGGTTTTCATGGTAGAAAATTTGTCTGGAATATTAATTACTGCATCTGGAGACTCAACAACGGTCATAGACGGGTTAACTTTAGGACGGTAAACTGTAAAAACATCACAACAACAATAGCTTCATAAACATTTAACAATAAGATCTGGTGGTAAAGAAATTGGACGGATTGTTTAGGTTTCGGATCATGACTTCATTATATTTCCTGGGATATCGTATACTTGAAAACATATGTTTAATAACAGTAAGTTTTCAATGAAAAGGATTGTAGAAATTTTCCTCATAAATATTTGAAATTTAAAAAAAAATACATTTTTAAGTAAGACATCATGGCCAAATGGCTCTCAGTAACAAATAACATACAACAATCTTAACAGTTAACACTTCAATTCTAACGATAATTTATACTGGTCGGTAATAACTTAACAACTGAAATCATGGCTTCGCTAAATGTATCCTAATCCATACAGACAAACCATGTCATTGCTATATTTAGATCTGTGTGGTCTGATAATTGCTTTGTTTGGATCTTTTTAGCCCTTCGTCAAAGGTTTTCTTCATTTTTTTGCACTGTTGGTTTTGCAAAGTATCGATTCTGACTCATCATCAATTTAAAATAAAAATAAAATTTTCAATGAAACATCTGCAACTTCAAAAGGATTTAAGAGTCATAATTTAGAGAGAAAAAAAAAGATGTCAGGATTAACTTGATTTTTTTTATAAAAAAGCGGTTTGGCTAAATATTTTAACAACATGATAGAATTTCGATTTATAAAAAGACGATACAATGATGACTTTAGGTTCAACAATTATGCTGCTAAAACAATTATTTACTATAATGAGTCCGAATTTTGATACACACATAAGATAATCAAATCAAGCCAGATGGTTTGAGTGTTGACAAAAGATTCCAAACAAGATGACTAACAGGTGATTAAACCTGCCATGTGATCAGACACAAACGATATGGTGTACAGTACAGGTATGGCATGTGATCAGACACAAACGATATGGTGTACGGTAACATCTTTCATGATCTTGATGAAGTAGAAACAACAATGTGGTATCGTAGGTGATGCTTTCTGTACACTTGATAAGAACATTTCTTTTTTCTCAAGTGCCTTCGAAGTCTCAGTCTTTTTTCATGTTGACTATTTCACTACCTACCACCGACTCATTTATAAATTTCTATACTGTAGTCTATGACAACTCCGAGATTGATGTCACAAGTGTCTTGAACAGCGTGCCTTGTCACCATGGTAATGATGATAAAAACACATTTTAGCAGGTTTGTGCACTTATTGCCTCCGTGATTCAGCCCTATATTGTGTTACTGCCGTAGTTACTAATTTTTCAACGTGATGGTGAATGCTTTTATGGTAGCCTTGCTTTATAGGTGGTGTAACGGTTAAAAACATAAACACCGGTAGAATATCATGTCAACACTTATCACATGATTAACTGAATGAGTTCCTTTTCCTCCTTTTCCTCCATTTCAACATTACCATCAATAATAACAAATAAATTTTAAAATTTAAGTCAGGTGAGATGTCCAATGGCACTGGGCATCATATCAAATAAAATTGGAATCCAATTTTCTTCCTTGGAAATCACAGATAGCTTTTACTATATGTTTTTGTTGATACATTGTATGATTGGTAACACTTTCAACCAATATGACATGAAGTATCAGTGCTAACTTATGTACTGAGTACTGGAACTCTTCAATCGTGGAGATACAATTCCCCTCCAAGTTGCTGTTTACATTATTTGTGTCAAGACTTTTTGTTCTAGCTGTCAGCAGCAAGCTGGTTTGTAAGATCTGAGGTACACACTTCATGACTCTGACCACAAATGCCAAAATATTTGTGGCCCGGTGAGTTCTGACTGTGACCACTAACTCCAAATATCCGTGGCCAGTTCTGACTCATTTCATCAACTCATACTTTGAGTTCATATTGATAAAGATTTTCATGGCGAGTCCAGTTTGGATCACAAACTCTTAGATACGTTAATTTTAGAGTTCAGACTTGGATTGACCACAAATAGAAGCTGGACTCATACCCCAACCTCTACTGTTTATGTATGAATTCCAGACATAAACTTTTAGATATTCATGGCTAGTTCCGACAGCATTTGTGAATAGTCCTGGTTTATACTGAGTGAGGGGAGCATCACACTTTTATCACCATTTCGTATTGTCACCAGCTGGAGAGAAGTGTTACCGGCCAGGTGTGCTTGTCGACTTTCTAATGTCAGCTGAGGAAAGAATTTCTCCGTCATTGTTTCCATGAGGTATGGGTCGTCTCCTGATATTAAAGTCTTGGTGCTGGTGGCTTTAGGAACTGTGACTTTTCTTGGCCTGTAATATCAGTAAAATAATATCATGAGAAAGTACTTGAAGTGGTAAGAGAGTCATCATTGATTATTTAAGGTGAATATGTCTATTATGATGAAATTTAAAAATTAGAATATAGAGAAATGTTGCTAGTTTAGTTCCTCGGATATTTCCCCAGAAAACAGAAAACACTGATTATTTGTATTATAATCTTTTAGGATCACCTTATTTCACAATTTCACAGGAAATATGGCAAACAAACCTGTATATTAAAAGAAAAAGATATGTACCTATTGCATTGTTATATGAGATAAGACTGATTTATTACAATGACAAACAAGCTAATATTTTATCTATAAGTCTGACAAAACATGGAAAGACAAGTTAAGATTGATTTATTACATTGACAAACAAGCTAATATTTTATCTATAAGTCTGACAAAACATTGAAAGACTAGTTAAGATTGATTTATTACATTGACAAACAAATAAAAAGTTATCCATTACACTGGCAAGTCTCATCTGTTGCAATAACAGAAAACTAAGATTTATCTATTCAAATGACTGGTAAATTTAGAAACCTTACCTTCCCCTCTTGATATGTTGCACTTTCTTTTCATCAGCTTGATTCACACCAGCGAACAAGTTTTTCAGGAGCAGGTCTGTATCGCCGATGATCAACTTTCTCTCCGGAGGTCTCTGTAGCGTCTTTTTCTGTCTGGCTTCTCGCTCTTCAGGTGGAGTTATAGGTCGCACATCTGTGGAGAGAATGAAAGTCACAGAAATTAAACATCTGATGTAAGGAAGATAATTTTCTCCACTGTAGACAATAATGGACTCATCCAGATCAATGCAAGGTAGAGTTTATTTATTTTACATAGAGTGAAAGTATTATATAATATTAAGTTTTATCACGTACATGATGGACCATTGTGTAAATCATGTCATACATTTTGGATTTTATGTCATACATATTTAACTCCTTTATGGCACAGAAACTTTATTACCCTATCTAATACTGGACATGGCATTCATATCAGTTATGTTTTAAAAATTGGTAACTAAACAGATAAGTATTACAAAAGCTTTCATTTGGCATTCATAGCCAATATGAATGCCAACTGCAATGTGACAGATAGACAGATACAGTACCACATGAAGCACTGTAGACACTGTCCAAAGTCATGTACTTTTGTCAGAATAATGTTTCATTGATCCATCATGTACACATTTTCTGGAATAAAATGCTTTTCAATTTAAGCTTTGTTGACATGATATTGTAGAACTGTTTGTATTTCAAGTGAATCTTTTGTTTTTTAAATGAAAAAAACGATCTCTTGTTGAACATTTGTAACAAGAAACTTTTTACTAACTGTTTTATCTATGAGTCAAGCCTAGAAGTAATCATTAAACAGTCTATAACTTAGGATCAAGAAAAGCAAAACTCCCTCAAGCAACAGCGATAAGGTACCATTGATTTTTCACCCTACAACATATTTATTCATTAGGTAGGGAGCTAAGTATGTCATGAAAAAACTGCCTATACATGACTTTTTGCGGTAAAGGCGTCAGGTTGCCCTTCATGTTGCTTTGGCATCTTCTTGGTTTTATTGAAATAATCCTGATTATGTATTTTTTTCACCTGATTTTAAAATATACGTGATATTTTCTGATATTCTATAGCGACCACCAACAATACATGGGAAAGCCAGTATGTAAACAATAGGCGATCACAACAGCTGTATTTCTATAATGAATCCCCTATTGATTTGCCGGGGCTATTGTGGTGCTACTCTGAAGTAACCTGGTAAGGATTACTACACGTTTAATTGTATTTCAGTGTAGCAGAAGTAGGTGGGAATGATTTCTTTCCCCGATTAGGTACACTAACACTACCTGTCGGTTTTACCTATGCCGTACAGGTAGGTACTTAGGTAGTAATTGATTTCACATCTACCCGACATTCAGCTGGTTGTAGAGAAGCGATGGGAGGCAGAAATGTTAATTGATATCTATTAACCAACACACACTTCCGAAATCCACCGGGAATTCTTTATTGCTGTTGTTCTGTAAGCAGAAATGAAGAACTCTTGCCGTTGTCGTGTGTAATGTCCGTTGTCATGTGTGATGTCCGTTGTCATGTGTATGTCCGTTGTCATGTGTGATGTCCGTTGTCATGTGTAATGTCCGTTGTCATGTGTAATGTCTGTTGTCATGTGTGATGTCCGTTGTCATGTGTGATGTGACCCTGAGGAATAGAGTATTCCAATACCCCACCAGATTTACAATGGAGTAAACAAACGGAAATAGGATAAGCTTGATGTCATAATGAACAACAGTTCATGTACCAAGTTCTTCATGCCTCTGAAGGCTTGTTCCAAATAAGTGTCTTCCCCTAATAAGTCCCCCTCCCCCACTAACTTAAATGATCACTGTGTCCCTCCTTGGCAGTTGTTTTTGTGACCAAACATCCAAAATATTTCCAATGAAGGTGACATCGTACAAATTGTCTTAGTCATTGAAACATCACACAAACATTTAACTGGTTGTGCTATATGAACCTTTCTACAAACCATACTCTCAAAGTTTTGATAACTTAATATAACTTTATTATCATCCCCTATAACAATGTATTTGATTGCGCAATTAACTTAAAAATACAATGTTGTGTTTGGTACCTTGTCGTGTTTGAGTTTCCTTGGTCAGACTTTATTGTTGTGATACTGTTCTATTTCGGTATAATAACTTCTCCATTGTCATTGTATGTAGGAGACATGAATATTTGTTTAAACATTGGCGAGTGATGCTTACCTCTGGCTGCTTCTAGGTGTAATTAAATATTTCTGTCTCCCCCAAACAGGAACAATAAATATATAATACATGCCATGCCAGCTGATATTAACAATCCAAGTTCTGGTAATTGTGTTACTAAAGAAGAAGACTTTTCAAGCTATAACACCACTTTCAAGTGTCTTGGGATATATTGGAGTTGTTATTTCCAGTGAAGAGTGGTAAACATTCTAGTTTATTTGTCTACAATTTACATCACTATCAGGAATTGATTTTAAGGATAGCTAGATATGGAGCCATCCTGTGTGGGTTGAGGCTATATAGCTGTCACTGCCTTGTTTGTAATACAGGTAAATAATTCAGTGATAGATAAGGTTACAGTCTGACAAAACAACCAACAATGGGGAGAAAATAACACAGGTAAACAACTCTCACAATAGTCACAGGCATTGTACCTATCCTGGTAATATATACCTTAGTAACAAGAAACAACCCTCACAGTACCTTCCCTGGTAATATATAACTTAGTAACAAGTAACAACCCTCACAGTACATACCCGGGTAATATATACCTTAGTAAAAAGTTACCTCAGAGTACCTACCATGGTAATATATAACTTAGTAACAAGTAACAACCCTCACAGTACCTGCCCTGTTAATATATACCTTAGTAACAAGTAACAACTCTAACGTACCTAGTATATATATATCTATGTTGGCAACAAGTAACAACCCTAATAGAATGGGGAGAAAATAACACAGGTAAACAACTCTCACAATAGTCACAGGCATTGTACCTATCCTGGTAATATATACCTTAGTAACAAGAAACAACCCTCACAGTCCCTTCCCTGGTAATATATAACTTAGTAACAAGTAACAACTCTCACAGTACCTACCCTGGTAATATAGACCTTAGTCACAAGTAACAACCCTCACAGTACCTGCCCTGTTAATATATACCTTAGTAACAAGTAACAACTCTAACGTACCTAATATATATATATCTATGTTGGCAACAAGTAACAACCCTAATAGAATGGGGAGAAAATAACACAGGTAAACAACTCTCACAATAGTCACAGGCATTGTACCTATCCTGGTAATATATACCTTAGTAACAACAAACAACCCTCACAGTACCTTCCCTGGTAATTTATACCTTAGTAACAAGTAACAACCCTCGCAGTACCTACCCTGATAATATAGACCTTAGTAACAAGTAATAACCCTCACAGTACCTACCCTGGTAATATATCCCTTAGTAACAAGTAACAACCCTCAGAGTACCTATCCTGGTAATATATACCTTAGTAACAAGAAACAACCCTCACAGTCCCTTCCCTGGTAATATATAACTTAGTAACAAGTAACAACCCTCACAGTACCTCCCCTGATAATATAGACCTTAGTAACAAGTAACAACCCTCACAGTACCTACCCTGATAATATAGACCTTAGTCCCAAGTAACAACCCTCACAGTACCTTCCCTGGTACTCTATACCTTAGTAACAAGTAACAACCCTCACAGTACCTTCCCTGGTACTCTATACCTTAGTAACAAGTAACAACCCTCACTGTACCTACCCTGGTAATATAGACCTTAGTCACAAGTAACAACCCTCACAGTACCTGCCCTGTTAATATATACCTTAGTAACAAGTAACAACTCTCACAGTACCTACCATGGTAATATATACCTTAGTAACAAGTAACAACTCTAACGTACCTAATATATATATATCTATGTTGGCAACAAGTAACAACCCTAATAGTACCTAATGTATATATACCTTAGTAACAAGTAACAAATCTACAGGACCTAATAGGTATATATTTCTACCTTGGAAACAGCTAACAACCCTAACAGTACGTAATATATACCTTAGCAATAGGTATAGAATATCACAGAGGTTTTTTCATATATGTACATACTTTGTACCTGAGTTATGAGTAGAAAATACAGTTATTTTTCATGACATTATCTTTCTTTTTTTTAAATTTTCATCAAAGTATTTTTTTTCACAAATTCATAAATTTGTGCATAATATTTCTTGTAAAATTGGTAATAATAAATTCCCTCTAGTGACGTTGTCATGCCTTTTATTTCAGTTCCTGATTATGTAGCTCTGTTTGTAGTAGAGTTATCTAGCTGGACATCAGACCTACATTGATCGTTATCCTACTCCTCTGACGTTAGACTTACACTGATTGAAACTTCGTTTGTGGAAACAAATGCATCTTCCTCCGCGACATCATTAAACCTTATCTGTGTGTAATCTGTCCTGTGTTTACCAGCGTACGTAGCTACACCTGAATCACACACCTTGTATAATACCCACTACAAACATCACATGGCTGCACGATTTCACACGCAGATCTCTCGGAGTCCCCTCGGTTCCTCAACAACAACATTATAATGCTCCACTAACATGGATCCATATCTTAATTCGGTCAGGTTCAAGAGTTTGTAAAAATATAAAACTCAAAACCTGACAACAAGGCCAATGATAACAAGGAACGTTAACCGGGTCCCCCCCCCCCCCCCCCCCCCCCGTGAGCATATAATGGTTTGCTCATTACTCCAGCTTATTGCCATTAAAATCATCTTTGACCGAATGTTGGGCCTATAAGAGTATTACTGGTTCTATGATAAGAGTATTATGATAATGGGATGAATTCAAGAGCAATTATATTTCCAATCCAGAGAAGACCAGAAAAATAATCCAGAGAAGACCAGAAAAATAAATCTTTTAAGTTTTGGCAGGACTATGGCTTAAATTTCTGGGAGAAACAAGATTCTTGTTTATCTAACATGAAATGACTATGATTGATATCCAGTCTGTTGTATTTTAAATATTATCTATTCAAAGTTTGTAGATACTGTCTATAATGGGTCAAATATCAAATCTGGAAAACACATTAATATTGATTATACTAATTAACACATTTCATAAAATGTTGACATTACTCTAAGTTCAACATTCTGCACCGATATCAAGGTTGAATTAGAATACATTTTGTAAAAAAAATAATAATATTGACTTCCATTTGAGTCTCCTTCAGGGTTCACAAGTCTACAACAACACTGTCTCCAAACCACAAATATTTGCGCTGCCTTGGTCAATAAAACCATACAGACTGATCAAATTCCTTTTATCAGTGGGAAAAAACATTTATCATGTTCTGTTTAAGGCCATATTTGCACAAGAAGTTCCAACTATACAAATAGCTTATATCCATATCTCAAATTAAACTTCACCAATTTTTATTCATCTAATATTAAAAGTTTTTTCCAAATTAATTCATAAATATATATTGACCGCCTTACAACATTGTATTTAGTCCATATTAAGCTAGCTTAGGTTTTAACAATTTAAATAAGGTATTTAACACATGTGTATACAATAGTTTTTTTTATAAATATAAATGGCACAGGGCCATATCAGACAATCGTTTTTTTGTCAGAACACAATTATGTGTTCTGGTTCTTGAACTCCTGCCAATTAACATTCCTGTTTTTGTTTGGGTGTTACTATCGATGCAGTCAGGGAATTTTATAAAATTTATAAAATTTCTAAATCAAAGTCAGTAGGTGTTCTACAGGTTTTGTCTGTCTGTTTTCTATTGTTGCTGTTCAATAAGGCTGGTATAATAAACACACTGAAAGAACACAATATACAAACAAATATAGATAAGAGGCTAATAAGTCTACCACAAATGTTTCTAGGACTTATCACATAACATGTTCATGACAATAACCTTTGTACCAGGTAAACCTATAGAACCAAAGTCGGCTTATCAGATCAACAGGAAATTACAAGAAGTTGAAATGGTTCTGTCTGAGATATATCTTATAATGATATCCTACTGCATGACAACTTCAGCAGTGCACTTAAAGTAAAATGCACCTAAAATCTCAGCAAATTTTATATACATGTATATATAATCAATATAATTGGAGGTTTCTGAACTTTTAACTTAGTTTGATTCTTTTTTGACATTTATGTGCATTTACTTATTGTATTAGTATACATGTATATTGGATACAAGTACATGAACCTATTTTTATACCTTTGGTATGTACACTAGACCAAATGCAGTGATCTATCTTTTGCTTTTCCACATTGGCCTGTACGTTGTAACTCAAGAAAAATATTGCACAACAGAATCATTTGGGAAAATGAAGTGATTTTTTTGTATTGATAATTGGAAAATACAGCAGAAACTATTTAGGGAACAGAGCTTGATAACGGTCCCAAACTCACTGTAAAAACTCACTGAACTGCCCTCAAACGATCAATCTACGACAATTGTTGATCAGGGTTAAGGTAGATCATCTAAATATTTCCCTTAATCAGAAGATTATGTTTATTCACCTGCATTGGTTTTGATCTACATTTCCCTACCTACTAGTACATTGTATAAGTATTGGATTATTGATCCCCCTATAGAAACAGTATAGATTCTCCATACCATTGAAAGAAAAGAAGAATTGTGAAATATATATATCATTATTTTTTATTTACACATTTCAGTTCAGTGAAGCCTTCTAAGTACATTTGTACGCAAGACATTCATTATGTATCATTGGATTCTAATGGGTATTCATGGAACATATTTGTATGCCTCTCATCGACAATTCTTGACATGAGTCACTCTATCATAAAAAGGAATATCATGATTATTCCATATATAGAATTACGTGCCATCGTTTCTTAATCTCTATTGACTCTGGGTTCAGTGGGGTAAGTTCTTTTATTACACTGTTTTCATTTCTGCCACGGAATATAACACTACATTAGAATGGCCTAATTGTACAGAATATACCAGTTGAATAGAAAGTACCTTAAGGATCCCCGTACTACCGCCAAAAACTGTAACGAAGTGTTGAAAACTATATTTCCCAGCACGTCTACTAAAGCTTTGATCAAACATTTCTGAAAAGAAAACCAACTTGTCCAACTTTCATGAGAAATAATAAAGATAGAATAAATAGTGTTTTGAGTTGAAAAAAAAATCAGCAGCCGGCTAGACCAAGATTTGAACCCTGAACTTCCGATTGATATATCATCACTCTCTCCAACTGATTGAGCTACCAGGTCAACGGAAGTGTCTTGGTCCAACTGTGCTACAGTGATATCCAAACGAAGTTAAGGGGAGATTACTGTGTATAGGAAAAAACACAGTGTAGTGGGACAGGGATCCTTAATTGTATTGCAATACGGCTTAAATCATACCAAAACAGACAGAAGCATTAAGAATGGTAGGAATGTCTTGTGACCCAAGTTATGAGATGTACCTGTCTTGTGATGTCATTTGTCATGAGAATCCACCTGTGTAATGAGACCACCTGTCTTGTGAGACAGACTGCTTTAAAATATACGCTTATATTTGTGAAACCACCAATCTTGAGAAACCGCCTTCATTGAGGGACCACTCATCTGTGACCACCTACCTAATAATTGATTGTAAAAAAGTCCTTGCAGTAAAGACCACCTGTCCTCTATCATGTGTGATTACCTGTCTGAATTAAAGGATCATGTGATATTAAAACTTACCGGTAATTTCCTCCATGGATTCCTTATAGTAGAGTGGGGGTAATGATGGGAACACATTTGCTGGCGACACCTGGTTTGGCACATTCGGCTGTTTCCAAAATGATTGAGGTAGTGCACGGAGCCTCATGGGCACGGATTCTGTAACAGACAAGTTAACTGTATCAGACGTAACAAGATTTTATTAATTGAGCTTCACATTCTAGCAACAGTCAGGGTCATGAACAGATGGGTGTTTAAAAAGACATAAGAAGTAGTTCTATCGAAATCAAACAAAATGAATGTATTTACTAGATTACCCACATAGCAGGAGATAACCCATTTTTGATGCATTGGTTGACAGAGAATATATTTATCCTCCTAAGAGGAAGATCCACAGAATTACTTTCCAGCTTGTTGGTGAACTCATTCACTCATTCATTCAGCTTATACAATAATACAAGCCGCTTCAAACTTCTAGTTAAAGAGGGACTCTCCACCTTATAGCCAGCAGAGAACCATTCTAACATGAAGCCACCCTATTTACAAAATACGTAGCCAATTCAAAATGTAATCTCAAACACCCACTTTATCTAGCAGTAGTTTTTTTGGGTTCTGACACTTAATTTCTTCGTAAGGTTTCTTAGAAACGTCCAATGCCTGTTTATCCCAGATTATGTGAAGGGTCCTGACCACTCACACACGACAGGGTGCCAATGGATGTCTAGGTAATGTTTAAGTGGACATTTTTGACAAACTTCACTTTTTACCAAATCAGTGCCAAAAATATAATGACACACGAACACTATTAACACAAAAACATACTGGTACCGACACTCAAAGGTAACAAACTGACAAACTAACATACAGACACACTGTGAAACATTTTAACATATTAACCCATTACATGTACTAGTTTATAGGTATAGTGACATTAACACTTTTACACACTACGAAACATACTGCTGCATGGAAAAGCTTTACAAACATTCTAAAGGCCAAACACTACCACTCCCACAGAAATCCCTCTGTTGATAACAAAACATGTACCTTTATTTCATTCCCTCCCCCACCGAAGACACGTTGAACCCTTCCAATTTGAAGGTTGGAATAATTTATTACAAAATTTCAGGGGTGAATGAGTTAATGAATGCCAAAGTTTTTTCTTATCCAGAAGGCATGACAATTTGCATTGCAATTCACGGGAATGGGAATATATATACGACACAATGTATAAATATTTCAACAGGGCTGTTCAACCATTTCTCTTGAAGTACCTATTGAAAACTATTTTATAATCTTACAGACTTTAAAAGTATTGATCAGGATAGAATAAGAGTCTCATTGTAATATTTCCATTAATCTACCTTCTGTGTAATTGCCATAGCTCCAAAGGAAAAGCTGAAAAATGTATGAATTAATTTCCGCTTAGCTTGACATTTTGTAAAACAGATTTTTGATATTGAGAAACATTAAATTTCAAAAGGTAAGTTAAATGCATGACTATCAGATGGTGTTTACAATTGATTAGTCTGGGTTGACACAACAGAAAGCTAAGACTCGGAGGAATGTGTAGCACCACCTAAGTATAATACACAGCACTGAAGGACTGCTCCTAACAGAGAGTTATAGGTACACACAATATCCTTCAGGTGTATTAGATATAATAGCATTCAAATCCACATACCATGACACAGAAGTCTGTTTGTTCTAAATCAACAGTTTTTACCTGTTGCAATTTTTTTTTGAATTTTCACAACTTTATCAGGTTTAACATTAAAAGGTTTGATATTATAAACTTTGGGGTTATCATAATGGAAATCAAACAAACGTTACTGACTTAGACAACCTGTCTACAGCTACTACCTGTCTATTACTACCACCTTTTAATTTAGGTACCAACTGCCTTTAGCTAACATCTGTATATAGTGAAAACCTGTCTATAACTATCACATATATATACTCTGTACAATACCAACTGTATACAGTGACCACCTACCCAAAGTACCACCTGTACATGGCCACCAACTGTATACAGTGACCACCTACCCAAAGTATCACCTGTACATGGCCACCAACTGTATACAGTGACCACCTACCCAAAGTATCACCTGTACATGGCCACCAACTGTATACAGTGAACATCTACCCAAAGTACCACCTGTACATGGCCACCAACTGTATACAGTGAACATCTACCCAAAGTACCACCTGTACATGGCCACCAATTGTATACAGTGACCACCTACCAAAAGTACAATCTGTACATGGCCACCAACTGTATACAGTGACCACCTACCCAAAGTACCAACTGTACATGGCCACCAACTGTATACGGTGACCACCTACCCAAAGTATCACCTGTACATATCCACCAACTGTATACAGTCAACATCTACCCAAAGTACCACCCGTACATGGCCACCAACTGTATAAAGTGAGCACTTACACAAAGTACCACCTGTACATGGCCACCAACTGTATACAGTGACCACCTAATCAAAGTACAATCTGTACATGGCCACCAACTGTATACAGTGACCACCTACCCAAAGTACAACCTGTACATGGCCACAAACTGTATACAGTGACCACCTACCCAAAGTACCACCTGTACCTGGCCACCAACTGTATACAGTGACCACCTACCAAAAGTACCACCTGTGCATGGCCACCAATTGTATACAGTGACCACCTACCCAAAGTACAACCTGTACATGGCCACAAACTGTATACAGTGACCACCTACCCAAAGGACCACCTGTACATGGCCACCAACTGTATAAAGTGACCACTTACCCAAAGTACCACCTGTACATGGCCACCATCTGTATACAGTGAACACCTATCCAAAGTACCACCTGTACATGGCCACCAACTGTATACAGTGACCACCTACCCAAAGTACCACCTGTACATGTCCACCAACTGTATACAGTGACCACCTACCCAAAGTACCACCTGTACATGGCCACCAACTGTATACAGTGACCACCTACCCAAAGTACCACCTGTACATGGCCACCAACTGTATACAGTGACCACCTACCCAAAGTACCACCTGTACATGGCCACCAACTGTATACAGTGACCACCTACCCAAAGTACCACCTGTACATGGCCACCAACTGTATACAGTGACCACCTACCCAAAGTACCACCTGTACATGGCCACCAACTGTATACAGTGACCACCTACCCAAAGTACCACCTGTACATGGCCACCAACTGTATACAGTGACCACCTACCCAAAGTACCACCTGTACATGGCCACCAACTGTATACAGTGACCACCTACCCAAAGTACCACCTGTACATGGCCACCAACTGTATACAGTGACCACCTACCCAAAGTACCACCTGTACATGGCCACCAACTGTATACAGTGACCACCTACCCAAAGTACCACCTGTACATGGCCACCAACTGTATACAGTGACCACCTACCCAAAGTACCACCTGTACATGGCCACCAACTGTATACAGTGACCACCTACCCAAAGTACCACCTGTACATGGCCACCAACTGTATACAGTGACCACCTACCCAAAGTACCACCTGTACATGGCCACCAACTGTATACAGTGACCACCTACCCAAAGTACCACCTGTACATGGCCACCAACTGTATACAGTGACCACCTACCCAAAGTACCACCTGTACATGGCCACCAACTGTATACAGTGACCACCTACCCAAAGTACCACCTGTACATGGCCACCAACTGTATACAGTGACCACCTACCCAAAGTACCACCTGTACATGGCCACCAACTGTATACAGTGACCACCTACCCAAAGTACCACCTGTACATGGCCACCAACTGTATACAGTGACCACCTACCCAAAGTACCACCTGTACATGGCCACCAACTGTATACAGTGACCACCTACCCAAAGTACCACCTGTACATGGCCACCAACTGTATACAGTGACCACCTACCCAAAGTACCACCTGTACATGGCCACCAACTGTATACAGTGACCACCTACCCAAAGTACCACCTGTACATGGCCACCAACTGTATACAGTGACCACCTACCCAAAGTACCACCTGTACATGGCCACCAACTGTATACAGTGACCACCTACCCAAAGTACCACCTGTACATGGCCACCAACTGTATACAGTGACCACCTACCCAAAGTACCACCTGTACATGGCCACCAACTGTATACAGTGACCACCTACCCAAAGTACCACCTGTACATGGCCACCAACTGTATACAGTGACCACCTACCCAAAGTACCACCTGTACATGGCCACCAACTGTATACAGTGACCACCTACCCAAAGTACCACCTGTACATGGCCACCAACTGTATACAGTGACCACCTACCCAAAGTACCACCTGTACATGGCCACCAACTGTATACAGTGACCACCTACCCAAAGTACCACCTGTACATGGCCACCAACTGTATACAGTGACCACCTACCCAAAGTACCACCTGTACATGGCCACCAACTGTATACAGTGACCACCTACCCAAAGTACCACCTGTACATGGCCACCAACTGTATACAGTGACCACCTACCCAAAGTACCACCTGTACATGGCCACCAACTGTATACAGTGACCACCTACCCAAAGTACCACCTGTACATGGCCACCAACTGTATACAGTGACCACCTACCCAAAGTACCACCTGTACATGGCCACCAACTGTATACAGTGACCACCTACCCAAAGTACCACCTGTACATGGCCACCAACTGTATACAGTGACCACCTACCCAAAGTACCACCTGTACATGGCCACCAACTGTATACAGTGACCACCTACCCAAAGTACCACCTGTACATGGCCACCAACTGTATACAGTGACCACCTACCCAAAGTACCACCTGTACATGGCCACCAACTGTATACAGTGACCACCTACCCAAAGTACCACCTGTACATGGCCACCAACTGTATACAGTGACCACCTACCCAAAGTACCACCTGTACATGGCCACCAACTGTATACAGTGACCACCTACCCAAAGTACCACCTGTACATGGCCACCAACTGTATACAGTGACCACCTACCCAAAGTACCACCTGTACATGGCCACCAACTGTATACAGTGACCACCTACCCAAAGTACCACCTGTACATGGCCACCAACTGTATACAGTGACCACCTACCCAAAGTACCACC